CTGGAGGTTCTGGAGCTGCTGGAGGCACTGGAGCTGGAGGTGCTGCTGCTGGAGGCGCTGGAGCTGGAGGTTCTGGAGCTGCTGGAGGCGCTAGAGCTGAAGGTGCTGCTGCTGGAGGCGCTGGAGCTGGAGGTTCTGGAGCTGCTAGAGGCGCTGGAGCTGGAGGTTCTGGAGCTGCTAGAGATGCTGGAGCTACTAGTGCTGGTGGCACTGCACAGCCGCGACTGTTCTTCGCTCCGCCATCGCCTTCGTCCCTGCCACCGCTTGACTCCGTGCTTCGCCAGGTTCTTAGCCTCCCGTCTTCTATTGGTCTTCCGTTACAGCCTGGCTCACCGCTGCCTACTCCTTCTCCTTACACTGAGCAGACAGGAGGTCTTACTGAGCATTGTGAGCCTGCGTCTCGGCCTGTCTCGCCTGTTCGCACTGTCCGCACTGGTCGTACTGGTCGTCGTGTGCCTCATGAGCGTCCGCCGGCTGTCCCCGGCACACACCTCATGGCCCTGCATCCTTCCACTGCTCTGCAGCGTGTTCTCCTGCCGTCCCCTCTTGCGTCTTCTCTACTTGACGTTCCAGAGCCTGGATCTGACCTGGTTCGTGCTGCTCACCCTACTGTCACGCGTCTGCTAGCCACTGTTGTCACTGACCCGTCGTTTGAGTCTGCTGCCGCGTCTGCCTTAGTGTCTGAGCTTGTTAACTTTGCTGCTGCCTGTCGTCTCGACTTCGCTGCTAGTCTTGTTGCTGAGTCTCAGTCTGTCAATCCTCCGTCCGTCGGTGGTGAGTGTGCTCTTGGCACGGACGTCCTTGGGGACAAGCAGGAGGAATTTGAGTGTCTTGCAGCCACTGCGCCTCATCTCGTGGCCATGCTACTTGCCCCTGAGGGAGACTCGGATGCTCCAGACATCCCGACCCCGCGCTCTTACGCTGAGGCGATCGCGAGTGAGTACTCCTCTCAATGGCAGACAGCCATGGATGCAGAGATGGCATAATGGAAGTCCACAGGCACTTACGTTGATGCAGTTCCCCCTCCTGGGGCGAACGTAGTCGATGGCATGTGGATTTTCAGGGTGAAGCGGCCGCCGGGTTCTCCGCCTGTCTTCAAGGCTCGTTACGTTGTACAAGGCTTCTGTCAGCGACAGGGTGTTGACTTCTTCCACACCTTCTCTCCCACCCCGAAGATGACCACTCTTCGGGTATTACTACGCGTCCCCGCTCAGCGTGATTACGAGCTTCACTCTCTGGACTTCAGCACAGCCTTCTTACAGGGCCGTCTGCACCAGGAGATCTGGCTACGCCGCCCACCTGGCTTGACTGGGTCGTTCCCTCCTGGTACCCAGTGGAGCCTCCGCCGGCCGGTCTACGGTCTCCATCAGACGCCTCATGATTGGCACGACACACTGAGGATGACACTTGCGGCTCTTGGGTTTGCACCTTCCACTGCTGACCCATCGCTGTTTATGCGCACCGACACTTCGTTGCCGCCGTTCTACATCCTCGTGTACGTCAACGACTTGGTCTTTGCCACTGCTGACATTGAGGCTCTCGCCCTTGTGAAGTCGGAGCTGCAGAAGAGACACACGTGCACAGACCTGGGTGAGCTACGCAGCTATCTTGGCCTGCAGATCACCCGGGACAGAGCACGGCGCACCATCACACTGACTCAGTCACACATGGTGCAGCAGGTCCTTCTGCGCTTCGGCTTCACCTGGTCCTCACCACAGCACACTCCTCTGGCTACAGGCCACTCACTCTCAGCTCCACCTTCGGACGAGTCCGTAGAGCCGAGTGGTCCGTACCCAGAGCTAGTGGGCTTCCTCATGTACCTGATGACCTGCACACGACCTGACCTTGCGTACCCTCTTGGCCTTCTGGCTCGCTACATGGCTCCTGGTAGGCACCGAAAGGTGCAAATGGATGCTGCTAAGAGGGTACTGCGCTACTTGTACAGTACATTGGGCATGGGGCTCGTGCTTGGAGGGCGGAGCCCAGTTGTCCTCACTGGGCCCTCAGACGCTTCTTGGGTCGACGACCTAGCTACGTAGCGGTCGTCACAGGGTTACACCTTCAGCCTTGGCTCTGGTTCTGTTTCGTGGCGGTCTACGCGCTCATCTTCTGTTCTCAACTCCAGTTATGAGGCTGAGATCTACGCCACAGCCATGGCTGCACAGGAGCTACGCTGGCTCACCTACCTACTGACCGACTTGGGAGAGAGGCCTCGTTCTCCTCTAGTTCTGTACATCAACAACAAGGCTGCCATTGCCTTGTGTTAGGACCACAGACTGGAGCACAGAACGAAGCACATCGCTCTGCGTTACTTCCTTGCTCGAGACTTGCAACAGCGTGGTCAGCTTCGTGTTGCTCACATGCCCACCCGGGCCAACACGGCTGATGTGTTCACGAAGGCCCTTCTGGCTGGTGATAATCAGCGCTTCTGTACTGTACTAGGCCTGGTGCCTACGTTTCCTCACTTGTTGTAGACTCTGGTTTTACTGTGATCTATATATATACCTGCATGTTTACTCTTGCTAGGTAGTGATCACTGTACTGTTGTTGTTGCGTATATACATCTGCTTGTGAACTGGCCTTGTGGCTCCTTTGCTTGTGCTCAGAGTGTGTGGTGACGTTGTGATCCACCCTGAGCTTGCATTGCTTTTCTTGACTGGTCTTGTGACCCCTTGTTCTCCCCCACTTTGCCTATGGGGGTGTGTCAAACTATAAATGATTTATAATTAGGTTTAGGCTTTAGTAGGGTAGCCAATGTAGGGTACAACCCCTTAGGGTTCTCATCCTTGTACCCAATTCCCTCGATAGTTTAAACATTCCTACCTAGAACTCTAACATCAGGGTCATTATAAAAAACGGGGGTCAAACTTTAGGAATTCAGGGTAAAATTCATGACTTCTGAGGCCCTGCGTGAGAGCAAGAGATTGATCATAGTGTAAGAATAATATATAATTCTATATATTGTTTTATAAGTGCCTGTAGTGTAGAATATTGTAGTCATATAACTTTCTGTTTGGTGGTGCACCTTTCTTCATTTTTGCCTATTTGTACTGCTCGCTCTATAGTGAACAATCTCTTTTTGTTGCAACCTTTCTCCTCTCGATACTCTCGTTAACCCCCTTCCTAGCACCTAAGGTTTTCATAGCCTCCTATTCTCAACATGTTATCAGAGCGGTTCCTATCCTAGGACCTCCTTTTTTTTTTCCCATGGGCCCACCGCATATCACTCCTGCCATGGCGCTCGTCGCGGCCCCAGCTGTGCCCGTTCAGTCGCTCGTCGCGAATGTTGCAAAGTTGAGCGTGGCGAACTTGGCGCTGTTTTTCGCGGCCCCAGTCGTCGGCCCCGTCGCCTGCCCATCGCGCCCTACTGCAGCCTCGTCACGCCCTGTCGCGGCCCCGAGCGTCTGCATCGACGGTAGCTTTGGGGGGAGACGGCGGGTGTGGCGGCCGAGCTGCTTCAGACGCCAAACGCGCCCCCTGCCCCGCCCTCCCGTCGAGCATGCGACTGCTACTACTGCAGCTGCCACGCAAGCGACGGCGAGCTGTGCGAAGGCGCTCGTCGCGGCACCTGCTGCACCCCCCCGTTTCTCCCCCCTACCCGTGATCTCGCCAACGCCAACAGGGACCGTGATGTTACAATCCCAGCAGGGACTTAGCGAAGGATCGCTCAGGGTTTATCGCAGGGTAGTGTTGCAACGGAAGTATTGAACTTAGGTCAGAGTGAATGTAAATGACTGAGATTGATAATTGCATGCATACATTGGGTTTATATAAGGATACAAGGGAATACGAAAAGACCTAGACTAGCCATGTACTCCAAGGGGTACATTCCCTTATTGCAGCGAAATCAAACCGTGCGGCGCGGGAACCCGTTTCAAACCTGTTCCCGCTCTTTTCACTTCAAATGTTTCAGCCTGCATCGGTCTTTGTCAGACGGTTACTACGTCGTTTCGACTCTTCTGACTCCTTGACTTCGTACTCAGTAGAGTCGGCTCCTACAACATACAGGAATGCCTTCTCATACATCTTCATATCGTAACACGTGAAAATTCAGGCTATATTTTCACAAGGACCCTGATGCATCAACGTCCCTAAAAGTGAATCTGAGGGCTTGCCTCTAGGCTTCATCCCAACGTAAACGCATACTTGCATATATTCACTATCTTTTTTTCATTGCACTGAGCTTTCGCAAAATCTGTTGTCCTTGCTTACAACTGAGTTGCAGAAGTCAAGCTTATACCTAGAGGTTGTAGAGATTGCGCCTTCTGATTATGTCCTGTAAAATTGTATGTCTTGTGTTTTAAAGCCCGAGGTCAGCATGGTAAATTTTCAAGTTATGTGAGGTTGAAATAGTATGGCAAAAACCTGTAAATCGTGTATTTCGAAAATGTGTATGGTGCGAAAGCGAATTCAGGATGTGGGCAAAACAGCCTCCGCCACGATACTTTGCGACAGCTGTTTCGGATGATATGGGAGGGCCGAACGACTCAGTGTGCGATAGAGCATTGCTCCCACCTCACCACCGGTGGGCAAACCCTGCTTCTCTTGGGGTTGACATGGTGGGCAACGCGAAACTCACGCGAGTAGGAGTGAGGCAGTACACTGAACACTATGTTTACAATCTCTTATTTACTAAAATGTTTGGATGGTTTTTGAGACTTCACAAAGGGATAACAAGACATTCCAAGTGCTGAATTGGTGCGGAAAAGCATTGAAAGCAACTTATGAATCATAAGAACGAGATATGAAGAAACACGTTAGCAATACATTTCCAAACGTACACTCTCAAGCTCATATCCCGCAACGCATAAGGGTCTCGGCCGTCCACATAGCGAAATGACGTGCCTTTCCTTGCACCACTCTGCACTCCCCCGGCCCTCGACAACATAGACCAGCCTTGCCCCACCGCACATATGCGGCCAGCGCTGCTGCAAGCATTCCTGTCAGCCTGCCTGCACCCTCCCGCATCTCCATAGTTTTGCCGCAGCCCCTGCCTGCCTTCACCCTGTGCTTGCCTTTGTGCCTCCCTCCCACGCCACTCCGCACTGACCATGCCGCACAACACACTCCCCTACCCTTGCCCCATGATCCACGTTCAACTCCGTGCCTGCACAATGGTGGCTGCTAGGCGAACCGGCTCCCAATCTCTCCGTACATGCAGGGGCGGCGGCAACAGAGAGGGCAGGGCCTTGTTGGGCACAGGTCGGCAGAGGGTATGGGGCAGCAGGGGAGGCTAAAGGCAGTCTCGAGAGGAGGCGCTCATCAATTGTGCCAACGGATCCAGTCATCGAAGAACTTTTGCATGCGCGTGCGTGTTGCTGCGTGGTGTAGAGCAAGCAGAGAATAGCACGATCGCCGTTGGCGACGACGGCGTGCAAGTTGGCACCCCCTTCGGCTTGGCAGCGGGTTGAGCAGCCAGAGAATCGCACGATCAGCGAATACCACGTCGTACCCCAGCGCAAACATGCTCCGCACCACGTGCACCTTCCGCCACACTTGCGCGCAGATGAGTAGGGAACGACTTGAGGTGGTAAGGTGGGATGGCAGTAAGGTGGGCAGGCGGTAAGGTGGGAAGGCGGTAAGGTGGGCAGGCGGTAAGGTGGGCAAGCGGTAAGGTGGAAGTACTGAAGGAAATAGAGCAGAGGGTGGGGAGACCCAGGGAAGAGGGACACAGGGAAGAGGGACATAGGGAAGTCGGACATAGAGAAAAGGGACAGGGAAACGGGTAACATGGAGACAGGGAAGGGGATGGGGGGAAGCAGGGAAGGGGATGGGGGGAAGCAGGGAAGGGGATGGGGGGAAGCAGGAAAGGGGATGGGAGGAAGCAGGGAAGGGGATGGCGGGAAGCAAGGCAGGGGATGGGGGGAAGCAGGGCAGGGGATGGGGGGAAGCAGGAAAGGGGGTGGGGGGAAGAAGGGGAGGGGATGGGGGGAAGCAGGGAAGGGGATGGGGGGAAGCAGGGAAGGGAATGGGGGGAAGCAGGGCAGTGGATGGGGGGAAGCAGGGAAGGGGATGGCGGGAAGCAGGGAAGGGGATGGGGTGAAGCAGGGAAGGGGATGGGGGAAAGCAGGGAAGGGGATGGGGGGAAGCAGGGAAGGGGATGGGGGGAAGAAGGGGAGGGGATGGGGGGAATCAGGGAAGGGGATGGGGGTAAGCAGGGAAGGGGATGGCGGGAAGCAGGGAAGGGGATGGGGTGAAGCAGGGAATTGAGTCATCATTGTGTCGTCATTCTACAAATTCAATCATCAATGCAAGGTTTCTATCTTGTTCTTTTCTACAAACACGTTTCCGCTACGCTGGCACTATGCCTTTCTAGCGAAGCGAAGGTCAAAGGTCAGTGACCTTTGACTTTACAAATCAGCACAACAGCAAGGACAGATAACTGACTCGCTATTGAGCAGTTACCCGAGTCGTCGCTGTATCGAACCGCATCAGCAGTTACAATTGCAGTTAGTGAAACCTTGTAATCATATACCGTATCTCTATGTCGTAATCAACTTACTGGTATCTTGTTCTCACATACCAGTGCAAGGTGGTTCAATCAGCTCCATTAAAGACGCTTCCGCTAATACATTATCAGCTTGAGCCTTAGTCATTGAAACGATCCCAAGGGCTGTCTCCGCCCAACATGGTATCAGAGCTACGGTAGCAAAGACAAGGCTCAACTATTTCTTCTTCCTACAACAACAGAAGACATGGCAACACAGAAGGAAAGGAGCTTGTCTACTGGATCCCCTGGCACTACTCCTACTCCACCTCCAGTTTCTGGACTACAGACAGAAGGAGGCTCAACTCAGAGACCAGCTGCTGAATCCACTGAAGCGCCTGTGAATCAAGCAACCGGCTTCGACCCAAGCATGATGGAGAAATTCTTCTCCTTTATGTCATTCTACGAACAACAACAGCAAGCGGCACTTGCGCAGTCAAACAACAGCGACAACAACAACGGAGTTACTCCCATGAGCCTTGATGGCTCCTCTTTTGCACGCGGAAATCAGCAGCCTACCTTTGCACCATATGAGCCTCAATGCGGCTCCATCAGCTTCATGCCGAACCGACTTCCACCTGGACAAGAGACAAAGACACTGAATGCACTTCAGTTGCAGTCACAATTCGCACATGGGCTAAAACTGCAAACGACAACACCATTCGACGGGAAGGACTTCTATACCTGGTCCTTCGAATTTGAACTGATGATAGAATGTGCTCAAATCCTTGGTTTCTTTGACGGTTCCCTGCCATATCCAACGCACGGGACACAGTATGGCAAGCAGCACTACATGTATCAGTCACTGATGGCGTACACTATTTTCCTACGAAACATAACGGCAAACAAGCAGCAGAACATCCGAACTTATCGCGGATACAGTAACTCCGCTGAACTCGCGTACAACCATCTGAAGAACATGTATTAAGAAAACGACAGCGTGAATTAGAGTCGTCTCTTGGCGCAATTGACAACAGTCCAAATGCAACCCGCTGAAAAGGGAATGGCATATATCACTCGATGCCGTAGTCTACGCAACAGACTCCTTCGGTGCGGCAGGGCACTATCTGAAGACGCCTTTGTTACTGTCGTCATCGCAGGCCTCGGTCCTCGACCGCGCTCTACCCGGGCCATTCTCTAGGCCCACGGAAGACTCTCGGAAGCAAGCCTCTGCGCAGAAATTCATGCCGGGCAGAAATTCATGGACCTGCATGAAGAACGACACAAGAAAAGGACATCAATACCAGAGTTTGCTTTTCATACTCAGCGGCGCCACAACAATAGCCGACAACACGAACACCAAGCACGAAGATACGTACCACCATTCTGCCACCTCTGTCAAATGTCCGGTCACTTCCACGTCAACTGCCCAAATCATCAGCAATCAACACCACGACCACGTCAGCTTCGACCTTCAAGTAGTCAGGTGGCCTCCACACAGCCACATCCCTTCAACCAGGCGCAGTCTTCCAATGTCAACATCACAACATGCACAAGGAACAAGAAACATCATAAGCTGCATGGCAAGAACGGACTCCTGCGGACAGCACGTGTTCTTCAAATTGCTTTGTTCAATGGGAGCAACGTCTCAACCGGGAAGTCATGATAACCGTCGCCAATAACCAGAACCTGCAGACACAACGACAAGGAGTGGTTCAGCTGCTATCCCGTGAAACTAACGTTATCCTATGGATATCAAAGGTCCTGGTTGCAGAAGAACTCAGCTACAACTTACTCAGCATAAGCCATCTCATGGCAAAGGAGGTTCACCTCAAAGCCGACAGCACCACTCAGGAGTTCAAACCGTACCACGGGAAGGGCGGACTTTACATCGGGAAGGCAGTTCTGAAGAACGTCGTCTTCGTCCTCAACTTCGTCCCAGATCAAGGCACTGCTGACAGTGACGCGATAGTCAACTTCACCACTTGGACGCACCCGCCGGATCTCGACCCCGACTTCAGTCCCAGAGGTTTTTGGTACTCGCACACCATACCTGAAGCAGAATGGACAAGGGCATTAGTAGTAATACAACAAACAACAGGAGTAGCAGTGACATCGGCAGAAGCAGAAGCAACATCAGCAGAAGCAGCAGCGACATCCGCAGAAACAGAAGCAGCAATAGAGACAACGACACCAGCACCAATCGTCGACCCTTCAACACCACCACCTCCCATCAACGACTTCACACCGACTCCCACTCAACAATTGACTCCCGCTCCACGCGACGTCCACAAAAGCGCCAACGTCACCGATTATACTCCAACTCCGACCTATACAGGAGATCACCTGGACATCGCACCGACGAATCACTGTGGCATCAAAGGTTAGGACATCCCAGCAACATGACACTGAACAACACGATAAGACCAGGAGTTCTCGACAAAGACTCACTACTCTGACCAGACGGTAGAGAACTTCAACGAGTCTGTAGAACCTGCTTTACCTGCCTCGAAGCCGACTTACCCCATCAAGCGTTTGTCTCTCACCACAACCCAAGCGCACCAGCATATGCAGTGGAGACAGTCTACAGCGACATACTGTACGCCCGCGAAAGCGGACAAGGAGCTTACAACTACGTGATAAGATTCATCGACGCTGCCACCAGATACGTCTGGCACCTCATTCTACCAAGCCGCGACATGGCCTTCGAACCCTTCGTCGCATGGCTCCCAGTAACGGAAAGGGAGTCTGGAGTGAAGCTAAAGAGTTTTCAGTCAGACGGAGGAGAGTATCAATCACAGAGGTTCAAGCAATACCTAGCAGGGAGAGGCATTAAGTGACTCATCTCCCTTCACTACGCCCATCAAAAGCAAGGTGTGGTAAAAAGGATGAACCGGACCCTCCAGAACACCATTCGCAAGCTGCTACGTGGCATGTGACCACCCGACAGCCAGTGGCCTGAGGCGATGGACCACGTTGTACTACTGCACAACTTGCTTTCGTCATCCTCGCTTCTGAACAACGCATCACCGCATCTGCTGTGGACAGGAAAGCTGGGCAACATAAAAATGTTACGAGTTTTTGGTTGCATGGTACAGTACTGACCCCACACTGCACGAGCCGGCCGATTCTCACGACGCACACAGTGGGGACTACAACGCGTGCAAAATCTTTGACGTCCACTGGAAAGAAACTGTAGCAGCACATGACCTTCTTTTCTATGAACGACTCACTCTCCAAACGTACCTCGACAACCTGGTAGCAGAACAAGACCTCATAGGCGGCTTCCGTGGCAACCGAGCCTTCGCCACGCCAGCAGATGAGGCTGACTGGGATGAGCAAAACGTGGATGGAGCATCAAAGGAAGCTGGGCCTCTGCCCTACTGCTCGGTACCCGTTCCGATGGATGACGAAAATCCTCGCGAAAGTGTTAACGCCGAAGCCTACTACGACTTCGCCGACAATGGTTATGTAACACCTCAACCCGTCAAACACCAATGTTTTGGAACCCATAGGCCCTAATTTCATTCCTGACCTAGAAGCAAGAGACGAAGCAGTCTATCCCGAGGACCCAACTCTCCCCCGACTCACACAGAGTGGACTGCAGATTCTCCGCCTCGTCACCGCAGTCCATGGAGCATCGCCGCCACGAGAGCCTCCTTGGGGGGAGCACTTGGAAAAATGGCGCGAAGCCATGGATAGGGAGTTAAAGGCTCTAGAAGACATAATCACCTGAAAGATGGTACCCATCAGAGCAGTACGCAACAAAACCATACTCACAGGAAAGTGGATCTTCCGCGTGAAAACAAAGGAAGACGGAACAATCGACAAGTTCAAAGTACGATGGGTCTTGCGCAGTTTCGACCAAGAGCACGGACGGTACTTCACCGAGTATTTCGCGCCGGTCAGCCGACGCACCTCTCTGCAATTTCTCTCGCAGTAGCCGCAATGAAGCGAAAGAAGCTCCGCCAAATCGACGTGGCAAATGCGTTCCTCTACGCTCTCGTCGATGCAAAGATCTTCATCGAACAACCGCACGGATCCATCACAGACCCCAACCAACTCTGTTAGCTACTGAAGTCGCTGTACGGCATTAAGCAAGCCCCACAACAGTACCTGCATGCCCGACTATCTCGCATCGGCTTCCAGCAACTGCCACACGATCAAAGGATGTACAGACTCACAAAGGCAGCAGAGTGGTTCCACCGATGACATCACCACCTGGTTTGAAGGGGAGTTGTAGCAAGATCTTTCACTCACAGTTTCCTCCACCGTGACCCAATACATGGGGCTCACCATACTCGACGGCGAGAACGAGATCTATCTCAGCACCGCAAAATACGCCGACACCATCGCAAGACGCTTCGGATTAACGCCAGCCGCCATCTCCACGCATTATCGCTACACCATGGGACATCACCAGAGAGAATCTAATCCGCTCGGACCTGCCGGCCTACATGATTACTAGCAAAAACTGGGATGCTTGCTCTTTGCAGCCGTCATTTGCCGACCGGATCTGTCATACTCGGCGAGCCAACTCGCTACCTATCTCAAAAGGCCTGAAGCACAACACTTGGCAGAACTCGATCGCGCGCTACACTACCTCGTCAGCACACCGGCAGTAGGCCTAACCTACCAAAAAACTGCAACCACAATTCCGAAATTGATCGGCTATGTGGATGCTGACCATGCAGGCGACTCCGACAACAGACGATCGCGCACCGGCTACACCTACCGACTTGAGCCCGTCGGTCCTATCTCGTGGCAGTCGAACAAGCAAGAGCTAAT